TCTCTGTGGGCGTCAGCTCTGGAGCTGTCATGGCAGAAGCCTGAGAGTTTGGTCTGGAAAGACTTTTTTTAGGGAATGTTTTCAATTGCCCCATTAATATGGGTTTAATGTAATGTCCTATGAATCCTTAAAACTATCTTGGAGGCCTTGAATGGTTGAAATGAAAGACATATTTTGCTTTTGATGACATAAAAGTCATCATTATCTTTTCACAACCAAAGTGAAGCAAAGGCCAGTGGGAAACGCTGCTAGCCACTTTCTACCAGGTCAGTCTTACTCTTTTGCTGAAATAACCAAACCTACTGTTACATATATCAAAAAGAAAAAGATCACTGCTCTCACTTTTACCAACTCCTTCATGTGTATTAGTACTGAGCTGATGGAAGGCAGCTCTGAAAAGCAAACTTTCCTGATCTGCAGCTAGGGTATTTGAAGAAGGCTAAGGGATTTGGCTCAACGCAAGTACAAAACTTCCTGCTCAGCGGAAAGCAGTAGAGTCAGCCAGGGTTTCATGTGGCCAACTCCTGAAGCTTTGGGATCTGGGAAGGCAACGAGGAGGGTGTCATAGCCAGCGGCAAGCTGGCAGTTCTGACGGCTGTGATGAAAGACAGTTACAGAAATCAACACAAAGTTGGTCCTCGTTGCCTGGCCACAATAAAAATCTGGATCTTGGTTTCTTTTTATCTGGGAAGTCAAAGCTGAGATCTCAGGGTATTAGCATTTCTCAGCCTTGCTGTGCAAAAGGTGCTCAGTTTGTTCAACGTTTTGTTGCAGCACAACTGTTTCAAACTTCTGTGAAGTTTCAGCATCTTCTTTACCCTTCATCTCTCCCTTTTTTCAGGTTTAGAATATCCCAGTTCTGATTCACTGACTTCACTACTCTATTCCCTATAATTGTGGCTAAGAGTGATGGAGACTTCATTAGTATTGCAATTAGTGCTGCAGGAGATGGGCAGAAGGTGCTTTTGAAGGTGCTGCAGGATCATTGTTAATATGCCGTTACACAACTGTACATGCATTGTGCACTGAAGCCAATACCTAGGAAAGTCAATTTGTAACACACGAATGCACATTCCTGTATCTCTAGGCTTAGCAATAACAAAGGCTTAACAACAGAGATACAGGTGGACTTTCCTGTGTAACACTTGCTATCATTGCAAAATTGTTAACATTCTCTGCTCGCCAAGAGCACAAAAAATGAAGACATAATTGCAATTCTAAAAAACATTGAATATCAGAAAATGAAAATATAAATATTACTACTCAATGTCCAAATGTCATCAAAGAAAGAGTTGGACACATCTAAAAATAAACTGCCACTTGAGCTGTTTCTGTTAGCCTCAAGGTTTAACATTACCATATAAACAGGTTTGCATAATGCTAAGACTGACTTTGGACATAATTCATTAAATCAAGTATGTAGATGTTCTGCATTTTGCCACATTCTCTTTCTGTGTAATACTGATTGATCACAGAAGTGTTACATGGCTGTTGCACAGAATGGGTAGGGAATTTAAACAAGCAAAGCATTACGCACAGAGGACAAATGTGTGCATTTGGAAATACACCCCCTTCCCACAGAAAGGGATTTCGATCAAAGCTGGCTTTCAGTTGAGAGTCCTGTTCAGCAAGGACTAGTCTGTCACTGGAAAATAACACTTGCACATTCAAATGAAGATTCATAACGTGCTTGTTTTGGACGAACGGTGGGTCCCTGCTCTGAATTCTCCTTTTGCACCAAATGTAATATCTGTGAAGTTATTCTCTTCTAACAATATATAATGTCACAGGCTCCATGTGCCTGCCGTTTCAGAACCAGAAAAGCCACTAAGCAGGACGTCAGTCTTAGCAGCGCTACCACAGAATCAACTTGGAGCAAGCTCTAATCCCTGATGCAGAGAGTCTTGCTTTCCATGGTTTTTCTTCACAACTACAGCACTTTGTGCTGCACTACAGCACTCAGACACAGTGTCCCCTTATATAACTTACATATTTGTGTCTGCATATTAATAGCTATAGTAGAGCTTGTCTTTTAGGTCCAAAACTGGACACTGACCCCCGATGTTCCAAACATGGCAGCCCATCCTTTGACTTCAAACATAGACAGTATTTACTCATGGCATTCTGTCACACCTTTTATTTATGCTGGACTTGACTTTGGAGTCCTCACTCGGCATCAGCACTCTGTGGTGAGAAAAGACTGCAGGACCAGCCTCTTCAGTTTTACATCCTATGTTTTAACAGCAGCACTGGGATTGCCAGCTTGCTACAAACCTTCGTGTAGATGCTTTTTGTCTTTCAGAAGATAAACTAATACAAATTTTGTTTTGAGATATTTTGAACGTAGCATAAACAAACGTAGCATAAATAGATATATCAGCAACCATTTGTCTTCTTTCCCTTTTTTGTACTAAAACAAAGTAATTTGCACCTTACATTTTAAATGATGAAAGTGGCAGATTTTCTTCTAACCGCAAAAGACGGGGTTGTTGCCACCTTCTGCTTGGTCTAGTTAATAATGAAAACTTACCAACAAAGCACTTACTTAAAAACATTCCTGAGTACCAGATTTAAAAACCAAGTTATCTGCATGCGTGTGGGCGCACCCTTATACATATGCTTATGTGCAAGACAGACTGAAGATTTTCCAACTACCCCAGTAGTCTTACTGAGAACAATCACTGACTAGGATTGTTAATGAATTTTATTGTGTGCCCTAAATATGATGTTCTTCATTTAATCTGCAGGGTTTGCACTGTGCGGTTGCCATTGCATCAGCGTGACTAAAGCCCTGGATTTCACAGTGAGGATTGGAGGTCCCCAGAAAATACGAACTTCATGAAGGAACGTTAGCTTAGAAACAAGCACTGTTAAAAAAACCCTACTGAATAAGTAATAACACTGTGTTTCTATTATATAAACCTGTTGGCAATCCTGCCTCTAGAGCCGGTTGAAAAGCTGGAACATTATCTTGACTGAAATATTTCAACCAGCTCTCACTGCTACAAGCTTTCCTAAAACTACAGCTCTTGCGACTGTCAAAATCAAGACAAAGAAAGAAAGGGAGGTGTGAGGGAAGGCCTTTTCTTAATAAAGGCAGCTTCAGTTAGTAAGACAACATAATCTTCAAGCTGCAAAAGCAGCACCTACTAATTAGTCATTGACTAAAACATAAATAATAAATACCTAAATTGTTCCTTCTATGCATCCATTTTTGTGCCAGATAAACACTTCAATGCTCTGCCTTAATGCCAGCACAGCTGACACCGCAATTTCAAGTCCAAAGCGAACTGCAAGTAGCTTTAAACCAATACTACAGAGAGAGATACTACAAGCCACTAGGATCCGCATGTTATGGTCATCTTGCAACTGTTGTTTAAAAGGGAATTCAGCCTTTCTGTGAGATGCAATTATGGAATGATTTAAGGGTCTGTTTCCCTCCTGATGTGGACGCTTAACTCTCATCAGCAGAAAGTTAGCCATACACACAGAAGGGTAAACAGACACCTTTATTACATCAACAGGATTTTTTTCCTTAAGTAACCCAATAGTTTTTTAGGTTATGTTCTTAATAAGAGATTACCACAGCAGCAACAACAAAGTGCATGTTTTATGCTAACATAAAATGCATTAGTTAGAGATGAATTTGCATATAAACCCTATATTTTAAGAAGTTCTTGGAATGTAAATGAATTTCTTCCTGCTGTAGAAAATGCATCTTAAAATTATGTAAAACATGCCTATTTAAAACAGGACGCAGCCTGCTAGAAATTCTGAAGACAGGCAAGGCTACAGTTCGCTGACAGAATAAAGTAAAAGCGCTGAGAAACATGACATTGCTCTCCACATTCAGCTCATGCCTCCAGTCAGGAACCCATGTCCTGCACAGCCTTCCAGATGTGCTGTGCAAGCCTAGAAGGACCCTTTTTCATGAAGAGCTGTCAGATTTGAGATCAAGGGAGGAAATTAGTGTCAAAACTTAACAGCCACTACTCAAATTAGGGAAGAAACGTGTTGTTGCAGATTTAGGTCCCAATTCTACCATTTCACTGGTTCCATGGAACTCCACTGCCTGAGAAAAACCATCTCAGCTCATGAGCACAATCGGCAAACGGTGTGAGCAGACACATCACGACCCACCCCCAACCTACACATACACACTTGCTGTACTGGAAGTCTGTGAAAATGCTTAGGTGCTGGTGGGCTTAGAAGAAAACCTGCAGACTTGAAAGGGCCGAAATCCAAAATGCTTCTTTGTTCTTAAAATAATACTCTTAGTACCCAGACCCTGAACCTGACTGCATGAGACATAAAAGACTAATATAGCAAAACACTGGTTCCATTTAGAGTTTATAATGAAATTAGTCTAAAAAATCTCAGAAAATAATCTGAAAGTTTCTGCTTTTGCTCGTTTCCTCTAACTAGGATAACAACAGACATTAGCTGAGTCCAGAATTACTTTGTGCTTCTAAAAAAAAAAAGTGAGGGTGGATCATAATTATTTCACATTCTGTGAGGTAATGTGGCCACTCTAGCCTGCTGTAAGCAACCTCCCCAGGAAGAGTAAGTAGAAGGAAATTTTGCTGTGATTTATTCATGGTAGCAAAATAATGAAAGCCTATGAAACAGCAGAGGTACAGACAAATTTATTTTTAAAAAACACTTTTAGCAGCTGCTCCTTCACTGCCCTCTCCATGGCTCACTGCTAGTGTTTCAAAACCCGCAGAGGTGGTGGGCGCAGTGGCGTATGGTAAAGCTGGGGCCCCATGGGACAGCCGAGGCTGCGAGATGACCGAAGCTGCTCCTGACAGAGCTGATGGAGAGGGCAGTGCCAAAGGCCTTGTCAGAACTTTTTTTTTTTTTTTTAATGAACTATATTGCAATTAGTAACAAAAAAGTATAGATTTCCCTTAGGTTTGTGAAATCTGGTGCGAGAGTCACACATGAGCAAGGTTAAATTCCCTTTTAAAAACCTATGCCAGAGGAGAGCGTACCGGATGCTACCTCAAGCGACCGTCGGGTTTGACGGGGCCCAGCTCAGATTTGGGGTCCGGGCTCAGGGAGCTCCAGGCTGTCTGAGCACAGCCCTGCATGACTGGGCAGGCAGTGGGGCCGGCACTGCAGATGTCCACGGCTGACCAGACGCTGCTGACCAGAGAGTCCACCCAGGCTTCCAGCCGGGTGCCCACGAGCCCCGCATTCCTCTTGGCCTGGTCTACACGGGCGGCACTGATGGGGATATTCAGGACAGGGTTCAAGCCCTGGAAGCTCTGCTCCATGTACGCGTTCTTTGGAGGCCCGCTGTGATACTTCATGGCTTCCTCTGGAAATGCAGAAATAAATCCAAAAGTTAGTGCGTTAAAAAAACACCAAACAAACCTTCAGGATCTAAGGGTACAGCAGCTGAAAAAGCAAAAGTTAGTGGTGCGCTATAGTCCATCTCCCCAGCATTGAGGACACGTGGCATCCCGAGGGCTGGCTGCGCTCAGCCTGTCAGCCCCTCGTGCTCACCACTACGAGCTCCACTCACCACAATGCTCACCTCGCAAGGGCTGCGTTAGCAGGGCAAAGCACTGAGGCTGAAAGCTGCATCGTCCTTATTACCACCACGTACAACCAGCGTCCACAGAGCTGTAGGACACCCAGGCATGACACAGAGCTGTTCAGCACAGCACAACAAAAAGGCAGGCCCAGCCTCAAGGGCATCCCAGCTACGAGCTCCTGTCTGTACCTGGAGCCTGATCAACATGCAACTCCTTCCTAGGAGAAACACACTTTGTGTTCAGGGGAAGCTAATTTTGCCTCTTTCCCACAGAAGCAGCCTGGGAGATAAGCCCCGTGCAGCTGTAGTTACCCTTGTGGACACCCAGGGAAGGCTGTGCTTTGAAATCGGTAACTGGTTCAAGGACGCTTGTGGAAAAGTGGAAAAGTCACAACATTTGATAGCTCAGTCTGCCTCCAAAAACCAGGTGGTGCTAGGACACCCCCACAGCCTTGGACAGACTGGACCCATAGTGAAATATGTGTAGCCCCAGCATCATTCCTGGAAATCCTCCAGTCTTGCTGAGAAAGTATTCTCTAATGACAATTATATTTCAAGCTCTTGTGCTGAATAATGGATCACAACCATTTCCTAATGACACTTTTCTTTGCATTGTGGTTGCTTTCCTTACAGTAGCTTTTCTACCTCAGCGAAATGCAGTATATTGCTCCAAATCTGTAATATTGCTGTAATAATCATTGTGAGGCTGTGATAATGCCTTCAAAGACCTCAAATTGGACACTGTGGGTCTGACCACCCTCATCTAAGGCTGGCTGACTTCTTAAGGTCTGAGAGCAGACCAAGGTGCTGCTCATAAAATCAGAATGGGACCCTCCAAAATGTTCCCTGCGTGGCCCTTGGGAGTAAATTTTCAACCATTTCTTTCTGTCCTCAGCTGACTTCCCGAGCATCCTTGCTCTGGCAGCACAGAGGATAAGAGGATATGTTTCGCTCTGCCAACATACACACTGTCTAGAACACAAAACGGGCCCGTTCAGGGCGCTCCAGGCTAGGAACACCACTGCGCTCGGATAGCGCTTAGAGGCCAGGAATTACATATTCACAGCTACAATTCCCTCCACATGTCCTTGCTGCCTTACACTGAGTCCTTTCTTCCATGCAGAGGACAGTATCTCATGCACTGGCAATAAATCAGTACATTTATTTAGAGGGAAAAGGGACATTTAATTGGAGCTTCGCTGTTACATTTGCAAAGTCTTTAATGTCAAATGTCTTTAACGTACAAGTCCATTACTTCAAATCCCCAATTAAATTAGTTCGGCACATCCCCATCACCATTATGTATCACTTAACTGTTCCTGCATTCATCTAAACTGCTCTTTTAATTTTAAATAGTAGATATGCACCATAACCTCTAGTCAAAATGAGTTTATTCCATGCACATATGTCAGAAGTGTGCTCTGCCAGAGCACTGCCGTTTAAGAAACAGAACAAGTACACATGATTAAATTTCCTCCTTTGGAAGCAATTAAATATGGAAGGCTGTTTGTCAACATATTAATTAAATAGGAACATTCTGAGTAAAAATCCCAAAACAAAGAAGAGCTGGCATTACTAGCAGGATCATCTGATTGAGACAGGCAATTCAGAAAGCTTGTTGAATTAAAGCCTGTTGTGCATGTGTTTAGTGCATGGAACAAGAGAGACCTTTTTTCAGACAAGTAACGGGATGAAATGGAACTTGCTCTTCTGTCTGGCTCAGCCTTGCACTTGCTCCAGGCTTCAGGACTTGGTGGATTATCAGGCCTGGAAGGAGTGAAGCCTACAGAAACTGTAGGAGCCAGTGCTGGAGATGCAGCAGGAGATCATCTTTTGCTCTGAGTCGGTGACCCTTGTTGTTTAAGATCAGTGGGCTGCTTTTGCTAAAATAAGGGTGATAACCTCAGCATCTTCAACAAATTTAAGTTTCTCCACTCTGCTGTTGCTGTAATTGTGTCAGATATGCTGTGCTGCTCACGCCAACACACCGTTGTTCTGGTCTGCACCACTAAGTGACTGCTGTGCTTTGCTCCAGAACGGGCTGCGCTGCAAGGGCTTGCTGGCAGGTACAGCAGCAATGGTATTTAACGGCACTGAAGATAAACTTTTTGAAAAGCCACACATAAATACTAGCAGATAGGAACTGAAAAGACTGCTGAGGACAGTACTAAAGGGGTGCATTAAGGGCTACCGCTGCCCACAGTGAAAATGTGCTTCTCTGATGTGAAATGAGGAAACCCTGACATGGTACTGGTGGGGACTGCTAGGCCTCCCCACAGAACGAACACCCCAAGTGAAGTGCCTGCATGTCCTACAAATAAAGAGCTGGGTAACAGCAATCTGAGTGCAGAGCTACATACACTAATCAGTAGGAGATGCTGAGGATTCAACCCAGAACCCTCTCCTGAAGCCTCCCAGTCTTTGCTGAAAAGTTCACAGGAGGAAGTAAAGAGGATGCTGCTCATCAAAACTATGGCTGATGTGGGATACTCCTCTTTGCATTAAAGGAAAAACAAGAGAGAATGATGACTATATAACTTACAGGGCTGGGACAGGAGAAGGATAGTGTGGATCCCAAGCCCTGAAATGATGCATAAAAGGGAGCTGGAGCTACTGGGTGTGCTTTTAAAGCTGACACTTCAGCCCTTGCTCATGAAAAAACAATGAAGAGGCTTCCCCTATGAGATGTGTGTTTAGACATTTAAATTTGTACAGTTAGAGCAACCAATTCAAAATTAGTTGAATTGCAGACATTGTCAGATTTTTTTGCCAGCAAACACATCCAAATAGCCCTTTGACTTCAGGAGGACATGTATCAATGCAAAATACACCCCATTGACTCTAAACTATAGCTTTAAAAAATTAGTTATTTTTGTCCCTTATTTTTGTTTGCTCTTCACTCTGGGAGGGCACTTTATTTCTCAACTGATTTTTCTTAGTATAACTTCTTCGAACTAAACAGACAGCCTGTAGTGTGCTGCACAGGCTGGGATTTCAGCATTTTTGTGTGGGTTTGCTCTTCATTTTGCAGAAAAAGCAAATGAGTTCAGACAGAGAGTGGGCTAAAGAATGAAGAACGTGGTTACCTTGGTACACATTAAGGCGCTAGACCTGTGGGTTTTTTAAAGCAACACAGAATGTACAGCTTTATTTCTTGAATTGTGTTGAAACCCTCTGGCAAAGAGGTAATTTTTTATTGGCATTTTGTTTGTTTTCTTTTGCAGCAAACAAGACAGTGCTGCATTTGTTCACTGTGAAGCTAATCGACTCCTTGTCAGCTGGATCTGAACTAAATTTCAAAGCAAATCCCTGTCTTCAGGGTTTTTCTCAAAATGACGATTCCAGGGCATGTCTACTCTTCTGCAGCCACGCACTTGCCTGCTGCTATTACTGTGTTTGTCAGGAACATGTCGTGTTACCTCTGGTTAATTTAAAGCAATCACAGCAATTCTGACACAAGTTGCCACCCACTTTATAATGCGTATAGATGCAATTAGAATTGATTGAGCCACTGCCAACAACCAATGGCAAAACAAAGGTTTCCCAGTATATACTTAATTAAGATATCTATAAATATGGATTAGGTTAAAAGGCCTTTGAGATGCATGTGTGCATTGCAGTATGTCTGCTAATGCCATCAAGCCTTTGACAGAGGTGGCTGCAGTTAGAGGGCACAGGGGCCAGGAGCGGGCGTTTAAGGCTCCCTGTCCCGTTGTGGAGCAGCAGAGATCAGAAGCCCCTCGCCCACGACCAAGCTAGGAACCAAACGTGAAAGGTCTCTCTTCACATGAAGGAGAAGGATGGTCTTCTTCACGTGAAGGAGAAGGATGGTCTTCTTCACTGCCCTCCTTGTTTGAAGGAAGAAGAGTTTTATTTATTCCTTTATTTATTTATTTTCAAACCAGTGTTTGGTATCAGCTTGAGGTTTGTGGCTTTTTCTGTCCCAGAAGTGAATCTGCCCACTGGCTCACAGTAACCTATTTAGCTTTAGTGAAACAGGTACTATACATTAAACGCATCACAACTCAGTATTGTCACTCCAGCTGGGAGATCGCTGTGGAAACTTTGCTATGAATATAAACTCGAATTTTAAAATGAAATTGCTTTGGCTTTTTCTCTGCCCCTCTCAGTGCTCCTGGGAGACGTGTGTGATCACACTTGGCATGACTGCTTCACAGGGACTTTGTAGAGCACAGAAGGGTGGGAAAGGGGGATGATGGGGATGCAGAGCCAACCTCTACTGAATTCACTGTTTTCTTAGGAATTGACATCTAGTTGGTAGCTTGGATTATAGTCTGTGAACTGCTGGCTAAATGCTCTGAATTATACCTGTTTGGCTCTGCGTCTCCAGTGCTTACACAGGGGCCCTGGACATCTGGCCTTGAGCCTCCAAACTGCACATAAATTCAGGCTGCCTAAGGCTGCCAGCAAGAAACCCCCATTCCTGTCTATTATCACTGCTACTGATCTTCTCCTTGTTTTGTCTCCTCCACATGTTAAATTCCCTCTCTGTCTTGGCACAATTTAATCCTGGGGCGTCCTGCTGGTCCTTGGCAGCCCTCTGATGTCCTTACAGTAAGCATGGAGTACTTGGCTTTAACACACTCAGCCATATGGTGAGAAACTCAAAATCGCCATTTAGAAGAAGAATAAAACAGAATCTGTCTGTGCAGGATGTAGGGGGAAGGAGACGCTGCTGGAGCAAGTGAACATGATTTCTACAAATGATTTCTCTCACAAATTCACTTAATTTTCGTTTGTTTTTTTTTTTTCTCCAACCAGGCAAACATTTGAAGGCACTCTCAAGCCAGAGGATCTGCTGAAGGCAGAGCTGATCAGTGACACAGCTCACACTAGAGAAAACACAGAGATCTGGATGACTGGAGGGAGAAGAGGAGCAAGAAAGAATAATAGACTTTCCACTGGAAAAGCTTTGTGAGCCTCATTTATAGTGGAAACGCCCCAAACCTTCCAGCATACTCAGTAATTCCATATAAGAACTGATCTCTTTAACTCTTACAGAGCCAGGTTTGAAAAGGTCAATGAAGCTGTGTTTTTAAAACAATTTACATCCTGTCAGTTATCCACATCTGGACACAGTATCAAAGCTGACACCTGCTTTTGATTTCCTTTTATGGTTTTACTTGCATGCACAGACTCTAGGCCAAAATTAATAAATAAATGGGAATAGCAAATGAATAAACGAGCTGCATATGCTGTTTTATAAATGGCTAAACAAAACATCTTTGCTGTAGCTGTCCCATGATTAATTTTTTCATTTTGAATTGTAATAATGAATTTTGAGAATCGTGGTACGGGAATGAGTATGTTTCACTTTGGTTATTCAAAAGAGGACCAAGTGGCTACCTTCATGATGCTGGGAAACTGAAAGCAACTTTGCCTTCTTGTGCTCTGTGCTGAAGTGATGTGTAGATCAGTAATGTTTTAGGAAATACAGTGATTGTTGTCATGTTCATGCTCTTAAGACACAGGATTTTAGTGGCTGCCGCACTGCTGCCAGATCTGTGCAAACGCTTTTTAGAACAACACAGACAAATTACACACAAGACCATGACAGATTTTTATGTTACATGGACTCCAGTTTCTGCATCTGGAGTATATGAGACAGAGGGGGCCAAATCATTATCAAGCAAATGACTTGCCAAGTGGTACGAAATGAATCAGTCTTTCAGAAAGCTTCTGGAGTAGCAAAGTACCTTCCAGAGTAATCTGACAAGGAAGATTTTTTTTCTCTTTTTTTTGGGGGTGGGTGTGAGGGGTATGGTTGGAAGAACACAATTTCAGAGAAATCCCTAATAAAGCATATTCCCTCTTCTGCTGACAACTCCTGCCTAAGTCTGATAGATGTTTTATTTTCAGTGTTAAGACAAGACAATAATACTATCCCTTCATTTCAGAAGATTTTTGGCAGCTTTTGCATTGTTTACAACAGTAACAGAAATTGTTCTTTTAGAAGTTCTAATTCTTCTGTCATACTCTCATAATGCCTTTGTTTGGCAGAAAAAAATATTTAAATAATGAAGTGGTGACAAACTGACAAAAGCTAGAAATCAAAGCTAAATGACAATTGCGTGCACTGAGCACAACAGTGTCACTGAGACAGAAAGCCTTAAAAAACCCAAACAACAGGAATTTGCATTGTAAATACAATTCTGACTACAGTGGAGTGTCACTATCTGCCCTTGTAATTAATTTTCTTCTTTACCTTCATGCCTCAGACATCTGGAGATTATACATCACATCATCGGCAGCAAATCACTCCTGAGGCATTTTTCCTAGATAATACTGTTCCCAAGCTTTGTATTTCATTCCTATAGTAGATTCTAGTTACCATATGAATGAACAGGGCTCTTTAACAAAAAATGTAAGCCATATCTTCTCCCCGTGTATCAGTGGGCAATACAGAGTAACTCCATAATTTCAGTGGAATTATTCCAGATTCAGAGTTTGCACTGAAGGGAGTTTTGCCTTTACACCATAAAGTGTGGGCTCATCGTGAGGTCTGAGACACACTTGACTGTCCACAGGGCGCTCATGGTATAGGGAAAAGCAGCAACGTTGCTAGCTACATGCCACATTTTCCATCCAATTTATGCCTTAACTGTTAAATTAGCAAAGAACATGTAATTAATTAATTTCCAGGAGATGAGTCAGTAACAGCTGTGTTTAGAAGTAGGTTGCTTCTAACTTTAAAAACGTATTTCTTCATAGCCATACGCATGGCTTTTCTTCAAAATTTATCATTGCCTATTGGCTAATAATAGCAGCAGGTTGGTGGTGGTTTAGCTTCCGCTTAAGAAATGATGCCACCAAATGTTAGAAAAAGAAATCGGTAAGTTAGCTCTTCTGCTGAGAAATGTGTAGAATCAAGCCCCTGTTGAGCAAGATAAGGGCTGCATTAGCTCTCAGCAGTTGTCTGGTGGTGTTTGCATTGCAGAAGCAGCACGTTATGCTGGAAGGTAAATGCCTGACTCAGTTTATTTGCTGCCTTGTCAGGAAGAACTTCTGAAAACTTAATAGGATCATTCACGTATCTACCAACTTTAAGATGTATAAAGTTATGAATATTAACACCGGGCAGATGGAAGCACTTGAGCATATTAAGAACAACGGTAAAGATATTCATAGCAACAAACTTGATTTGATCTCACTGAATAAGAAAACGGGTGTGACTACAAAAAATTCTCTCTTCTCCCAGCCCAGTGTCCCCGGCACTGGCTGAAGACTCAAACAATGCTTGTGGCAGTGCGAACTGGCAGCCCGGGAATGACCTCTGTATTTGGATGGCTCCGGGCTGCTGTGGCAGGGAAGAAAATGATTTCTTCCTAAAAAACGTCAGCATGGGTCTCATAGTATGCTTGCTGGGATCGCTGTATCCATAGATCCTTCTGTAACACAACTGCTTGGCATGTACTGAGCAGGTTTTGGCAGGTGTCAGGCAAGAGTGAATGCCTGGACCTGACAATATGTCAGGTGAGCTCTGTCCTAGGGTAATTTTGTCTGATTCAGCATTTTGTGTATTAATGCTTTTATTGTTAAACACACAGACTTTATCAAAATAGCAGTTCAAATATCTGTAACTTTTAATGAGAAAATATAAAAGAAAAGCAGCAAAGTCAATTTTTCTTTCTATTTCTAAATGACGGCTTTTACGGTAGCTGTTAGGTTGTTGAGAGTCTGAAGTTCTCTGGATTCAGAACCGTGCATATTTGTAAGATATAAATAGCCTTTTGTTCAAAGTGGCTGTGTTTTACGGACTGGATACAGAGACTTCCGCTTGTCTTAGTACAACAATTTCTTCTGATGTAGTACCTATAAAATTCCTTTCTTTTACCCTTTTCCAGTACAGTGCTACTTCATTTTTAACAGCAGCATTTGCAGTGAATAAAGACACAATAACTGAATATTATTCCCGTACCAAATTATAAAACTTACCTTGTTTGATAGGCTGCCAATTAGAGAAGGTGAGAGGAGTAACAAGGAATTTGGTTTCAGCTACCTGTACCCAGTGGTGCAGAATTTTTATTGTCCAGACACCGGGTCGCAGGGGCAAATTCAAAGGTGGTTTGTAGTGAGTAAATTCGGCACTGGATTCAATAAGAATATCATATGTTGCTGCAATTACATTAACAGGATCCACCCAAATGACAGTAACGGTGACGTTGGGGCCTTTTCCCCATTTCTGCATGCCAACTGGCTCATCTGTTGGCCCAAGAAGTCCTCCGAAATTCCGGAAAAGCCTTTCCTTGGCGTCCCATTCGGTGCCAATCTGAAATTGAAGACCACATTGCTGCTGCAGTCACCTCTGTAAGTATCTAATGCCCTTACATCAAATACGGGCTCCCAAGACACACAAATCATATTTCATGACATGAATTATGCATACATAACAGGCTGATGGCAACATGACCCAAGATCACAGAATCATTAATGTTGGAGAAGACCTTTAAGATCATCAAGTCCAGCCATTAACCCAACACCACCATGCCCACTAAACCATGTCATGAAGTGCCACGTCTACGTATTTTTTGAACACTTCCAGTCATGGTGACTCCACCACCTCCCTGGGCAGCCTGTTCCAACGCTTAACCACTCTCTCCGTAAAGAAATTTTTCCTAATACCCAAGCTAAACCTCCCCTGGTGCAACTTGAGGCCACTTCCTCTCGTACCATCGCTGGTTACTTGGGAGAAGAGACCAACACCCACCTTGCCACAACCCCCTTTCAGGTAGTTGTATAGAGAGAGAATATCATAATGTGTACACAAACTGAGAGACAACCTTGAATGCTAGGCTTGTTTTTTTGGTCCAGTTCACTTTTGATTGATGTAAAGGTTTTCTTTACGTAAAGAGTGACGTAACAGGCTACAGCAGCTCTCCTTTTCCTCCACATGGAAGCAGTCAATAAAGGACCAAGCCTGAACACAGGCTATGCATAGAAAAAAATACAACCCATCATCTCCTGGGTCATGAACATGTGTGATACATTTGAGAGACGGTTCCTGCAAATGAAACCTACCCAGTTACTCCTAAGGGCAAGGAAGAGGTTTTTGCTGACTTTAGGAGAAGTCACATCAGGTCCTTTACTACAATCTATCCATGAGATGCTGTCTCCTTGCACTCCCTGCCTGCCTGATGTGGAAAGCTATTTCTGGTAAACTCTTTTCTAACTGTCATAACAGTGAGATTATTTTTTATTTATTCACTAACTAATAGTAAAGCAGTTGATTCATGATCTAGTGTAAATATTTAATGGACCTTTCTTTATCCTAGAAGCTTTCATATTTCACTGCTCTTTATATGAATTTTAATGGTTCACCCATAACCCACGGGATGATACAAACTTACAAGCTGTTGCCATTAATACTTGTACACTACTGAAAATAAGCATCTCTAAACAGATAGCATGATAATGTAGTAACTGGCATTCTTGGGACAACTGAAAGACATTTTGCTATCCCAGCAGTATATCTAGCATGCTCTTATCAGGCTGACCATTAACGAACCATAAATTCTTAAGAAGGCAACCTGGTGGACTGCAGTATCGAAGGCTGCATATTTGCTTTTTGAGGAAGTGCCCACCTCGCTTGTCCGATGAGGTCCTGTACACATGATCTCAAATCAAAAGTGACCAATATCAAACAAAAAGATTTGAGGGACCCCATGTGAAGTGAAGAACAGGAGAACCCCTTGGCTCCTTATGGCATGCAGACATCTGATGTCATTCCTTGGAGAGACATACAGATGTTTTGGCCAGCCGGGTACTGAACACCCTCATAGTCCTTCAGGTCTTTTTTGTCCTTAATCTCCCAACAAACAGTGTAGATGATCTAAGAGTTGATTTGTTCCCTATACAGAAACCATGGGATTCTCTCAAGCGGTCTCCAGAGGCCCATGCACACACAGACAGGATCCCCTCTTCCAGCACCTGTGGATATTGAAGATTTCCCCAACACAGAGTTGTCTTTGTCCCTAATCTTCACCTCACACAGGCATAGTCACAACCTGCTTTCCTGAAAGCATAACAAATAATTGTAGCTCTTTTGCTTCAGAGATTTGTCTTCTAGATTTCATCTCATTTGATGAAAATAAGTCATTCCAATATAATGCCCAAATCCCCCCAAATACGTAAAACGTAACAATTACCTGATGCCTACTACCACTGATACCTGTACTGGAAACTGTCCAGTCCCCAGTCCCTTCTAAATAAATCACTGTGTTGGCAGACAAATTACAGGAGGACTGAAAGCAAAAAGCCACCAGACCAGCAGAATAAAATCCTACCATCCTAAATCCATCTGTCATCATACAAATTCCTCCTGTTGGACTATAACACTGCAGATTATGAGACAAAATGAGCCTTCCAGTACTCTGCAATCAACACAGCAGAGTCGCTGGTATTTCACAGATATTTCACCTAGCGCACCAGCTAATCAAACCAGACAGCGCAGCCCAGATATCAGACCCAAGCATCGACTGCCTCGAGGAGCTGTCAGTGCATACTCTCCTGACAAGACTGACTGAGTATGTATGGAAATAAGCTGAGAAAGAAAATTTCCTGACCGGATCTTATTATCTGCTCCTCCAACCTGCACTGACTGTGGCCATGTTACATCTACCACAGCTCAAGAGACTTGGAAATAATAAAGCCACAAGGTGCGAAACAAATCTACACCCCGCTGGGCAAAGAAAACCCTACAAGGAAGCTCTTTCCACCACATTCAATATTTCTTACTGAAGAACTCCTCAAAGAAAGCTTACACCGTCCTCAAAAAATTAAACTTTCATCCCCGACATACAACTATGTCCCTGTCTTTAGTTTCTCATCCCTGGAAAAGGAAATCAGAAAGTTACAACCCCCATGCTCCAACCTCCAGGTGACATTGCTCAACAACCAGGCTGCACAAAAGATGTTGAGATGTGTTCATATGCACAAAGGTTTATTAGAGTAGAATAGAAGAGCAAAGTTTGCTTTTGGGGAAAAATTATAACAAAATTGTTGGCTGGTTGTTAAGCTTTGTACAGGCATGTTACTGGGTTCTCTAATGTAAACTGAAAATTAACAGCCAAAGGGCAGGAGAAGAGGCGGAGGAAGGGACAATTCTCATGCTGGTGGCAATCGCTTTCCATGACAGCCTGCCACAACACCACTGTCAGGGTGTGCAGGTCCATGAAAACACCACCACAAAAACAAGGAGAAAATACTGCCACAGAGCAGGCCCTCAGCAGCACAAAGGCAAGGCACCTGGGCACCCTGCACCACCCCGCATGCCCCAGCGCCGGGGCGCAGACCAAGACAAGGTGCTGACACTGCCTGGGGCTGTGCACCACGGGCACCTTAGGGAAGCGAAGGGCCGGGAGCTGCACGCATCTATTTACAGGATCTGCTCTTTATGTCCAGTTTCCAGCTGGGGGACGTACTTTCCCATGCTGCACAGCTTACAGTACAAACTGGTTTTAGAAGCACAGTATTTTAGCGGGAATTTTACTTAAAGCACTAGTTAGAGGCTTATGCCTCTTCCCTTGAACTCTACACAGCTGACTTCCCGGTACCGAGATCTCCGATTTTACAGGCCAAGAGATGCTACAGTCCTATAGTATATTTCACAGCCCCTTACAACATTGTAAGTAGGCTTTTGCTTTCAAAAGGAGTACACAAAGTATGGGATGGAATCAAACAGTAATGAATATCTCATAAATTATGAAGGGATGTGGCACAGAAACTGACATTTTCCACATCATTATTCTAATCACTGTGATTTTGAGCTTCAAGAGCAGGCACTGTGCATGGGGTATGTTTGGAAAGCTGGAACTCTCTCATTGGCTTAAAACTCCTGTTTCTATCTCTGTTCAGTCCCAAGATAAAATTTTCCCAAGATAAATTATGCCTTGATTATGCGTTTGTGTCTCATTGCTCACCACAAACAGGACCATTAGGTTCACACAATGCACACTAATTGCCTGCCACCTAGTTTATTTTATTCTCTGTGATGAATCACAAGTCTTAACAAGACCAGAAATGAACTTAGTGTTCAACTGATACACGCTGAGCTGAGACTTTCAGTACTGTACAGCAAATCAATGCTCTGCCCTCCATGTAAAAGTTGTCATGAACCCAGGCTGGTAGGATACATACTGTGTGCACTGTGCGCAAGCCAATTTTAGGAGGTGTGGGAGTTTCATGCTTGGAAATCTTCTCTCGTGGATTTCCTGTAAGTTTATTTTATTTTACTCAGCCCAAGACTTGAGTGCAGGAGCCATGTGCCATTGAAACACTATCATTAACCCCACTGGCCCTTAGGCAGCCCGGTCGGCTGATTTTTCTTCTACTTGTCTTTACATGGTGTATGGTGAAGTCTGCTATTTGGGAAGCAAAGTCTGAGAAGCAAAGCAAAGCAAAGGAGCAGCAGGCAGGAAGGGCTGACTGGAAAGATCCTACTGTCTCCGCTGCAATTTGAGTTGTGTGTCAGGGTCACAAATACACCCGGGAGCACATTAAACATGGCATATTTGTGCTGTTCCTGTCGGTCCCGCTGGTGTGAGCTGGGAGAGGGAAGAAAGCTAAAAAGGCCCCAATTTAGTTTTAAATTTCTGCCAGATCATGGCGTGAAAGCTGTTGAAAAAACAGCAGTTATATGTCCCAATAAGCACAAATCTTAAGTTTCTTTTCTGGTGCTTAACCTGTGAACATCGATGTCCTCATCTTAGCTGAACTGCTAAGTTTGTTTTACATTTGCTGGACTTTGACAAAGAAGTGCCATTTTAATAAGCAGTAGCAGTTCATAAGCTTTCCAGCCACACTGAAGCTGAAGAGGTTAATGCTGGATTTATACCAGGGTAACTGAGAGAATAATTTGGCTCAGAGGCAGGGATGCCTGCAGGCCAAGGGAAGGCAGAAAGTAAAATAAATAATTAAGAAATTATTTACTTTGTACCTCCTGGTCTTTTAAAATATGAATCATCTATGAAAGGAGAGGACCTTTAAAGCATTTAGATGAGAAAAAATAATGAAAACAAGTAAGCAGCTACCAAAACTCTTTCTGCACGTTTCAACTAGAAGAAACTGTTTCCTTAGCCTGAAAAAAAGCTCACCAGTGATTAAATCCTTCCCATGCTTTGCACTTAGACGGCTTCACTGCAGCAGCAGTTCCTACAGGGCTGCTTACAGACCAGCCGTGGTCTATGAAGCCGTGAGGAGCGGCTCATTAGTCCCATGGGATTTGGGGATCCTCCCTGCAGGGCGACAGACTCCACAGAGCTGTGGGCACAGTGTGGCGACAAGGCTACTGACATGCCGCCGCTTCCCCATCAGGGGAGGCTGGCACTGGGCACTGCTGCTCCGGGACATCTGTCCATCAGGCTCACGGTTGCTGCAGGGCTGGTTTTAGGGAAAAAAGATTTGGTTCCAATGCACTGGGGCCAGGGGGAACCTGCCAAGTGGCCAGTGAGTAACTTCTGGTCCCAAGTTTTTTCTTCTCTACAAATAAGATGAAGTCAGATGTATTCTTTCTAACAATTTTTGAGTTCTAGAACACTAAGATCAACATACTTGTCATCATACAATTAGAAAAAACTCTTCCTGCTGCCAGCCCGGTTGCTTTCAGAAGAAGGACCCAGAGCAGGCATCAGGCCAAAAGTGAGATTCAAAGTACCAAATAAACAGCAGAAGTACTCCTACAAATCACAAGAATTAAAGCTTGTATGATCATTTATCACTGCATGAAATGGCAAGCCTACCATCAGACACATTGATAAATGAAACATACTTTCCATCCATCTCTTTAATAGCACATTAGTGTCGTGGAGTTGCCATGCACACCAAAACACTGAATCCTACCTAGGCATATCTTAATTGCCCAAGAAGATGGTAATTTATGGGCTTGGCCATAATGACTAGAACACATTTGTTCAATCAATTTTATACCTTAATTGAAATTTGTGGCTTAACAAGAAAAATCATGAAATTAACTGCTCAGACAGTTGTATCTTTAAAACAGAACACAGATGTCGGGTTCTATTAGTGGTCAACTTTCCAGATATATTTTAGAGTACATTTTTTACACTCTGTGTCAGATCCTGAGACAAATTCCTAGAAGAAATAACAGGATTTGTGGGAAATCTCAGCCACTGCTGTGATAATCTTCTCTTTCGTGTTACAACATCAATATTCTGCTCACATGTTGCATCAGTGCCTGACTATCACTAATTTTATGAGGGTTTCTTCAGCATACTCTTGAGAGGAACTGAGCTGCAGAAACATGGCATTTTTTCCAGGTGTATCTCGTAGCACTCACAAAAAATCAAAATCACGAAACTTTTAAGTTACTGAGCCCCTTTTACAACAGTACATGCCCTCAGTTTGTTCTTAAAACAAGAGGGAGTGAGGACACTCAATAACATAAGAAGAGAGGAGTGACCACAGATCTAAACTGGCAACAGTGTCTCCTTCAATGAGGAGGATGTGCATTACGCTAGAGAGCCACTCTCACCTAAAAATTACATGGAAATACAGTTCCAAAGGCCACTGAATTAGTATGCAATCGCTCCAGCGGCACGTGGTATTTGGCATGGGTGGCTATGAATACTTACCTCTGAGAACTGTAACCTTCCGAAATCGCTTGGTGGACTTGCGATCTTGAAGACTTTCTTTGGCATCACCCACGTTTCCAAAGTTTCTAGTTTACTGACAGCCAGATTGGTTGCATGGTGTCTGATTAGGAAGCCTTGGAAACGGTCAGCAAGGAAGTAGAGGTGGACAGAAACTGGGTGGCCCATGGGGTAGTATCTGTAAAACAGCGCGCGCACACACACGCTCATCAGTTACACAGAAGAGAGACATGAAATCTCCATTTACTTGCAGCTAATGGCTTAAGAAGCATTAATTTCAACTAGAAAATTCACTGTTGTACATTAAGAGATTTCAAATGCGTTCTTGACTCATTATCAAATATTCTTAGGCTGTTCCGATTACCCTGAAACATAAAAAATGTTACTGAGAATGTATGCTCATTTAGAACATATTCACAGCTCTAAGCTCTTTACGAGATACCTCTGCGTGCCAGAGAACTCCCCTCCCTCACTACCTCTTCTGGGTACAAAGCGCCAGCCAGAGATACACGCTGTTGGGCCGCAGCACCGCTTGCTGGGACAAGCGATGTTCAAGAAACGTGTCTGCTGCTCCCGTCAGGTGGTCTTTTTTTTTGCCGGCAGCGGGTTAGTCCCTACAGGCGCCGGGCACCGGCAGAGCCTCCCTCGCCTGCGGGGGACAGCAGAGGGTGCTGCGGGGCCGGGCAGGGCGGGCTGATGCCCCGCTCCGTTCCCTGCGCGTAAATCTCATCTCCAGCTCTCCAAGGGCAGTGCGCTGGCGGGTGGCACTGCAGCGAAGGACACCAGGATCCGGTCCCCATTTTAGGTCTCCTTTATTTTAGGAATTAAACGTCACATTCCTTAAAGACTTCAGGCTGGTTTTGCCATGGAGTTTTTACTCATCATTAAAAATAAACTGAAAAAAGGTCAAACAAACAGGAAAAACCTTTCATTGGGAGATTTGGAAGCCTTCAGTTACAGTTCAGATTTAAAGACATTGTAGTCATGGTTTCAAATAATTAAAATTTACGTTCAGTTGTCTGCTATAGTCTCAGAAACATCTGTAATGATGTTTTTGTACGTATGGATGCATAAATAATTAAAAACATGTTATTCATAGCTCTGAAATCAAGTATTTTGCTACTTCACAGCGCTGACATTAACTGTGAAACAGATGTGTTTGCAACACATTTAAAACCAACCAGTATCACACCTTCCCAGTCAAGTCAGCAAAGTCCGACGACTCATGCTAGTTACTACATCTCAAGACATAAGCACTAAGAGGAGCTGACCGAGAAGGACTTTCCCTTACATGAAACCACCAACACCCAGAAGGAAGTCTCTAGAGCTCGAGAAATAAACATAACAAGACGGGGCACAAACAGGGCCAGCACTGATGGACTGAGCAAAACCACAGCAAAACTAAACAGCCAATACCAGCAACAATCTGACTTCTGTTCTGAGTACTGAGGCCTCCTGCTTTATATGTGTGCAGCAGCAAATATTTACAATATCCTTGAAACAGTCTGAGTAAATTGTCTCTTGGCAGCAGTGAGTAAAAATGCCTAGAGATGGAGAGAAATAAATTAAATCTCAATCACACATTAATGTTGCTTCCACTGAAGATGCTGCTACGCAATCTAATTTGGTAGCAGCGCAGTCTGCAGGGGCACGGCTTTCTGAGGCTGAGAGCTAGCCCTTGTTAGAGAAGCGTGCACGGCAGCTTCTCCTACAGAAGTCTCCCGGGCTGCTGCGGGTGGCAGCATGGGATTGACTCCAAATGCGATCCGAAGCGGTGGAGGCTCTCCTCGCAGTGCCTGCAGCAGTGCGAAACGAGCTGGGGTGGTGACTGCAGTATCAGCTAACCCCCTGCTGCTGTTAGCCCTAACAGCAGAGGCAATGCTGTCGAGGTGCTCGGCCCAAATAAATCCCTGCCATTACCGCGTTAGAGACATGCAAGATCGCGAGAGAGAAAGAGGAAGTGTGTACACGCATACACCTAGAAAGACCACACAGTATCAAGACAGAAGAGATATGAATCATAAACCTGAGGATTATCCACCTTTCTGTGATTTAAATTGGATGCTGACTCACAGTGTTTTGAGAGGGCTCAGGCAGGTATGAAAATGAAGCCTCCACTCCACATCATTGCTTGCAATTCCTCCCTGCACTGTTTCGTGAGGCTCCAGCCTACTGTAAAGGAGCCATGCTTTATCCCGGAGACAGCTGCAATCAGCGGTGGATGACATGGCTTCCCTATCTATAATCTGAGCAAGCTTGAAAAGCACCTTGAGTTCCTGTGCTCCCCAGAAATGAAACTGATTATTGATATAAATCATCATCAGAACACTGATAGGAATAAGCACAAAAGTAATTGTCAAATTATTTCAGTACTGGTTATACATAGCTCCCCTCCTCTCTGCTAGCTTCACTCTGCACAACAGATGACCCAGGACTTCTTTAGGTCTGCCTTTATTTTATACAAGGAAGGCATGCTACTAATGATTATTTCTATGTAATTGATCTTTTATTGCTTTGCACTGGTAACCTTTACTGGCAAAGCTATAATAGGAATCTGGATCACTTATTGCCACACCTTTCTAAATGGGACGTTGCTCAGCACTTCCATGACTAAGTAGGAAGGTCAAGGAGCATTCGGTTCCCTCTTGAGAACACAAGAGGGGCAAAGTCCATCCGTCAAAGCACAAGGAGTGTCTTCAGTATTTGCTGACTTAGGCTGTATGTGTTTTCTATTAGGATAAAAAAGGCAGGGTCCAAAAAATACATTCTGAAGAAGGAATTAAGAGACTGTAAAGTAAGACTTTAAAAGATGAATCCTCTCTGCTTTGAACGTAAACAGCTTCACGTGTTTGCAGGCAGCAAACATCTACCGTGAAGAGAGCCCTTTCTGTGCAAGTCTAACTCCAGGAATTCTTCCTTCAAATCCCTTTTAAACTGAATTCTTCTTTGCTAGGCTTATAGGTGAAACAGGAAATCAAGAATATAGGGGGGTTTCCCCTTTAAAGAATAAGGACCTTTATTTGATTTTTTTATATATATATATTTTTTTATATATATACATACATACCTTTTTTTTATTTGATGCTAATGGATCCCACCAGTTGCAACACTTTTGGCACAGACAGCTGTACCAAGCAGGCAAACTGAGCTCAAGCAAGTAGTTCTCTGTAGTCCATGTACGCACCCAGGGGAACAAACAGCCAAGGACCATTAACCTGCCTGTGTTCAGATTAATTCTGAAATCCTGTCCTCTGCTTTTGGTAAGCATAATAGAGGTGAACATGACCTCTGCTGCAATCACATAGAGGGTTTTGGAGCTGCGGGTATAATACACTTGCTGAAATTAATCAAGAAAACGCAGCAGTGGGGGTAGCACTGCCCAACTGGATCCTGTCCGTCTTCATCAGGCTGGAGAGGAGCTCCTTAAAAGTGCAGCAAACAGGTCACATAATCTCAACCCTGAATAACCAATGCTTTATTATGGGCATAAATACTCCTGGAAATAAGCAATGTACACTTGCAGCTGCCTGGCCCTGTTTGTGACAATATGCTCCAGCCAGCACAGCCAAGTAGATGAACCTCTGCCAGCGCTCAGCAGTCCAGTCTGTGTTCCCTGACACACCCAGAAAAAGAAAGACAGGCTCAAACTAACCGGCAGCTGTTGTCTCCAGCAGCGTGGAACGAAGTCTCGGCTCTCCGCAGGCCCAAGCGGGAGAACGCATGGTACATGGTGAGGGCGACATCGCTGAGGGTGTGCACGCCATCAGGCTCATCGTAGACGTTCTCCCAGTATGAGCGGAGGCCCGGTGTGCCAGACGGGTAGTTGCCGTACAAGTAGTAGTCCAACTGGCCAATTATCTCTTGATTCACTACAGCTTCAAATTTGCGGGCAAAGAAAGTTGGCCTGGCAGTCTGCTGTGGTGATACGAAAGGAAAACACACTGGAGTGAGTTCCCACCTTCAGCCACGACACTTTGTCCTAAGCAATGGGTTGGAGTTGAGGACATGAACTGGTTCTTCCCATGAGCGAAGCTGACTTAAAAGGTCACATTTGTGACCATTTGTCCCTAACAGCGTCGTTAAAATGCAGACAAAAACCTACATAATTACTCAATGAAAATGTAGCTGTGCCAACCGCCTCGTACCAACAGCCACCCCCCGCTGCTGTGCTCTGGAAGGCTCTCCAAGTGCCAGAGGGTGGGGAATGCTCCCTAAACCACCGCCTGGAGACAGCACAGCACTGGCACGTTATTCGTGGTCCGGCAGGGAGCAAAGCGTCCTGTGGCACAGGGGCTCAGAAGAGGCAGTGCAGCATTTTGCATGTATGAATTTGCTGCTACCAGATGGTAAGAGGACTCTGGGAGAGGTGCCATCTGTGGCTGAGGTTTCTCAGCTTTTGATAGCTCCCATACAGATTTTTCGCTCTGCATTTGGCACAATCTTGGGTATAGTACCAGTTTATATGCTACTCAACTACCATTAGCTTTTAAAAAGCCTTTGCTTTGCCTATTTGAGCACGAGTTCTGAGGTGCCGAGGAGTTCAAAAGTGCCCCAGACGGTTGAAAAATTCCCTTGAGGATGCTCAGTTTTACTCTGAGATGGCACATGCTGTGGGCTCTCTGATCTCCTCCTCTGCAGCTTGCTTTGTGCCTTCGTGGGAACCACGAGCAAGCCTTCTGGTGCCATGTGTTCATCTGAGGGGCTTTCTCATTAGGCAAGTGTCAGAAGTTGCCTTTACATCTATTCTAATTTTGAATTTTCCCTTGCAGCTCAGTTTACCTGATTGTTTTCTGAAATGTCATTGTGGGTTGTTTTCCCAGCCTGGAGCAGGTCAGCCTCTGCAGACTGGCAGGAGTTTTTTTAAGACTTGACATTCATTCTGTGCTGGAGTCTTCCCTGGGATTGGTGTTTGGGGCAGCAAAGCCTCTCTTAGATAATGTCTCATTTGCTCTTTTTGTGAGTGCCTGTGTCACTGACTTCAACTGCGCCTGGTTAGCAGCACATTACAATAAAGAAAAGATCTCTGTTTTGGACCACTCATCATTTTTGTGCTGTAGGGTAACACATTCCCCCTCCCACACAAAGCCTGAACAAACATGCTTTATGCAGAGAATCCTGAGGAACTGCAGGGATGGAATTGCAAATCTGGTGACCTTGAAACAAGCACTTGTTCATTCTTAATAGAAGATACACAGGCCAGATACAGTCTGAGACCAAGTGCACCCTTGAGCACAAGGATTTGCTCACATGTCTGCCTCGAGGAAACTATCACAAAGGAACCGGTTAAACTTTTTAAGGCAGTCCTGCCAAGCCTGGGTGATTGAAACCTCATGACTCTGGCCCCAAAAACCACAAGATAAGCTTAGATATAATAATGTTGATGAATATAATCACAAAAAACAATTTGCCTTGTGCTATGTAAGCCTCTAGCAGTCACTCTAGTCAACTTTCAAGCTTTTTTCAAAGATGAAAACCACTGCTTAACAATGAAAGCCAAGAGCCTCATGAAATCATGAAAGCACCTGAGCTGGAACTTTGGAAAAAACTCTTTGCAATAAATTCACAAGAGTTACCAAGTAATATTGGTACAGTGAGAGATGTGTCAAGATTCCCTCCTTTCTAGCACAGCATATGTACCAGTGCCAAGTAGCCCAAAGAGCGGCTTTGTGACCTTACCACGCAGTAGTTAAGTCTCAAGGGCCAAAACACAGGAGAGCCAATCTTTTTTTCTCCTGAAATTAAGAGCAGAGCTTCCTCACACCTCTTTCTCCACCTTTCTTGATGGGGTAAAATGTTCCCTTCCCACTCCCTGCTGCAGCCATGCAGCCAGACAGCTCTCCACATCCCAGCAGAGGGGGAAGAACTTCTTTGCAGGTATCAGAGAAGAGACCGCTTCAGTTACCTGGAATCGGTGGAAGTCTGCTGGTTTGAAGTCATTAGGCGAACAGCCACACCAGTCAACAATGTGCTTGTACTGACACTTGCAACCAAGTTTACGGTTCCAGTTTGTGATGCGCAAGTTGTTGTCCACCATGGAGTCACAGTATGGGCTATTTTCCAGAACAGTGTGAAAGAAGGACTGCAAGAAAGACAGAGCAGATCAGTACATTCAGCTCCTCAGACTTCCATTTTCTCCTTCACTTCAGCCCACGGACCTGAACCTAACGCAGGTGACTTGTTTTCTTTCAAAATGACAGAATTAACAAGCTGTATTGTTCTGCCATATATGAAAAACACTCTACATGTATGCATTCCATAGGGCATGAAAAAAATGACAACACACTATACACCCAGCCAAACTGTAATAACATACAGCTTAGGCCTTGCTACAATAACCTGGCACAGAATAATTGCACTTCTGCAATGACCAGCTTTGGGCATTGGGAGTCCAAAGGACTCCAGGAAAGGCACCAGCGGCAGCAATTATTTTATTTTTATTTTAGCTGTATGATCAATTCTAGGGAATTCCCATTATTTCTCTTCTGTAAGTTACTCTCTGGTCTAACAGATTTAGGACTATTTTCCTGTGCAATTTGTTAACATATCTCAAGTTGTTTCCTAAGACAATTCTCAAACCTTCACCATCACCCTGGTTACTGTGAAAAAAACTACAGTCTCAGACAGCTCTTCTGTGGGTGTCTCTATCCCCAGCACTCTGAAATGAATTGCTAGTTGAATGGCCTTGTTCTGAAATATACAGTTCACCCCAGGCACCAGAAGGACATTCTGCCTCCTGCAATTACATCTGAAATCGTAAGTCTTTATTTGCCGACTCAAGGCAGCAAGGAATTCCTATTGGGCTATCCTAATTATATCATCATAATATCAGCTATTACATAAATCATGTGTAATGGGGACTGATATAGCAGGTCAACAGGTCAGTGAAGGCAGGGTGATTTTGAGAAACCAGCTGTGTAACTTGCAAAGAAAACCTTGTAGAAAGAAGCTGTGGAGTATAATCAAATTTAGCCCTCTAAGAGATGATTTTTGGAGCAGCAACTTCTCTTTAAAATCAGCAATAGTAAGGCCTATAAATAACTAGCACAGCATTAGAATGGCTAGCCCCCAAACAATCCCCCTACCCTTTTTAATGTTAAATGACAGCCCAGTGAATATGGATTTCATGCTTGAACTGTTTGGTTAAACCCATAAAGGCATCCATTCTCATTCAAGCGAGAGGAAAAAAAAAAACCCTACCCAATTACCCATTGCCCTGTGTCCTTTTATAACTAATACAGAAATTTCTCCTAGATAATGGATGAAAAGGTTATCAGAGCTGAGAGAAAAGGTGATTTTTAACAGAAATGGGATTAAAGCAAGATTATTCAACATGTGTGTGGAATAATAAACCCTTATCAAAAGATGACAATCGCTGCACTCCACTGCAAGCTAATAAGCCTAGATTTGCAAGATCAGTCTCATCGACCCCTCAAAATGTTCAGGGGCTACTAGCGAGGAAGGAAGTTCTCGTTTATAAGACAGTCATTAGGTCTTCCTTGGGCTCCCTGCATGCTACATACCCTGGGAGCAGAGCCGGACAAGCCGGGGAGCAACGTACCTGCTGAGGCTGGTGTAGCACAGCCTGACAACCCGCCAGGCTCTGTGCTCTATTTGTAGATAACGCACATCTCCCTGACACACTGCTGCATGCTAGACGAAAACCCATCCTGGTGTGCACTCCCCTTCTGCATCACTTGTAGCTGGAGCGATTCCTGAGTGATCTAAATGATTTGTGACTATGCCTTCTAGCTTAGTTTTGAACGGAACAATAAACCTTTGTTTGTAGGTTTTTTATTTTTAAAGAAAAGGGCTAGATAATAGCAAGGAAAGCTACTTATGAAGACAATTCGCCATCTCTAATAGCCTTCAAAGGCTTTGTGGAGAAACAATTTGCAGGCAAAAGGCAGCTGGATTTTTGGTTGTTTAGTAATAGATTAATAGGCTTAGAAGTATAAAACAAAGCCACTCCTTGCAAAAAAGTCCCACAAACAAAGAAAGCAACTAAACAACTGCAAATGCTGTTCTAACACTAAAGGACTTGCTCGTTATGGGAGTAAAATTCTCATTACCCATTGTATGATGATCTAAAGCCCACCGAAATCAGGTGAAAGCCCCTCAGACTTCAGTGATCTTTGGGACAAGCACAAATGTTGCAGTTTTGAACACAGAGAGGAATTGCTTTGAATTCACATACCTCAGCAGGAAGCAACGTGTAAGAGTAAAACCTCTTCATCTTTGTTACCAAATCATCATTAGAAAAAGTGACATACTCCACAAACTTCCTGTTCAGGAGAAACCAGTCCGACCCTCCATCGACTGCGATTCCTTCTGGGATCCTCCGGTCCCCGAGGCGCCACATGTGAGTATCGCATTCCAGGAAAAGCCGATCCAGCCCTTGTTTTCTGATAAATCTGAGGGAATACAAAAGCAGTAATTAAAAGTTAATTTGTATTTTGTTATCATCACTAGCTCTAAAAATAAAGAAGCTACTTTCTCAAACAAAAAAAGCATAAAAAGGTCACTTGTTTATATTTCTGTTCTACTCATAAATAATGTAGAAAGGTTTAATAAATGATTAATCAGTTATAGGGGCAAAGATCAACGGATTGCTTTTAAAGATCATTTACACCTTCTGCTGTCCTAAGACAGAACTGTGCCAGTTACAAAGCTGTATTGTGTGAAAATTCATAATGTTCATTGACTCTTAACAAACGACTGCAGAAGAACATGAACAGGAACTAAACACAGTCTGTGTGAGAGGCTTCTGCCTCTCAACAAATGCACAGGTTTTGAAAAACAGCAAACCGTACGTAAAGGTAAAATGACCGATTTTCTCCAATGTTATTATTCCACAAATTTTTCTATTGGGGCATAGTTAATTAGGAAGAGATACAATTGCATTGCTCTTTGCTGTAAAATGAGTATGTTTGCTCCATTTTCAAGTCTATGGGGAGCAACGTTTTGTTATTGCTGAACCACGAATAAGAGGAGCAACTTGCAGAACTGTAAAGTTATGGAAATTAATTATTTGAGACCAATATAAAAAAAGAGTTGGAAAATCAGTCTTGTGTTTGAAAACACTTTGGACTGGATGCCTACAGGGTTTGAGACTGTCTGATCCAGGTTTCTATTTGTTATTCCATTTTCAGAATTACTTCCCAGGCAGGGAATCAGAGCAGCCATGAATTAGCACACACCTTTGCAAGGGGGGCTAAGCGTTGTTAATAACGGTGAGTTGCTGTGTTGAATACATACCACATGTTCTGAGCAATAATAAATGCTAGCTAACCAGATCATTATAGTAACTAACATCCACAAGACCACAGATCTCTCTGGATGCAAGAATTGCAGTCTAACGAGAGCTGCAGCATCTACAGTGAGGACGACACCGTAAGACCTGTGTTTCCTTCCTGAACAACACAGAGCTACACCAGGGTTCTTAGAAATGTTTTAGGATTAGGAAGTCCAGAAGACATTTTAGTGGTCCTCAACCACATGCAACTGAAGGACGGAGAACAGAAGTAAAAGGAGCACCACCAAAGCTTTCTGGACTCCTGCATCTGGAAACGTGAGTGTTAACCCTGTAGGCTAACCGCCTGGTTAAAGTTTTGTTCTATGCCAATCAAAGAACGGGGACACAATTATGAAATGGTGCATATTAATTTTCAAAAGGACCAAAAATGACTTCAGGGTCTATGTCCTACTGATAGCTATGTTTCGTCTCACAGTATGAAAAGAAGAGCTCCTCTGTTAACACAACAGTGCAGAAAATGTGTAGATGAGAATGGAGAAATTTTTCTTTCCGTGAACAAGTTTCTAATTTCATGTTCCATTATGAAGGATAATAGAAAAGTCTTGCAATTTTAATGCAGTGCTCTGGAATGTAATCTTCAAATTCAATATTTATGCAGTTATCTCCAAATCAAATATTAATGTGCCTGAAAGTTTGGTCATTTATTTATTTCCCTCAAAACTAAATGCTCATTTGAGTTAATTATTTTAAGAAAATAACAGAATTTTATTGACTTTTTGTTATATATTTAAGCAGGATTTCCATGAAATAATTTCTTTCAACTGCTGTATCTACCAATTTATCACCTTTTATTCTTGTTTTCAAATAGAAGTTTTTTGACTGTAATAGAAACCCCCAAATGAAAAAAACCACCTGACCATTTCAAAGACCCCTCTACTTACAAACTCTCTCAGCCTATATTATGTGATAGGGCTTACAGCTAACTAATAACAGAAAGTTCAGTTATACAACTTCAGCCTTTATTGTCTGAAATTGGCAATAAAAGAGCATGGCCACGCTCAAGTTGAGAAGGTCCTAGCAAATCTAGACTCACAGCTTTACATTTTCCAAAATAGTTGACAGGCTCCTTTTTTGAGCTAATGGCTTGGACAAGCAAATTTTGGCATATGGAGTGAAATAAGACAATTCTTGGGAGCACAAGTGTTTTCATAACAAATCTCAGTCCTAAAATCCTATACAACGAGGTTATTAGAATAAAACTAAATGTACCTTCCAACCATTCATCCTCCAGCAAGGCAGTGTAGCCCAATTAAAGAGCAGCAAGGCCTTTGGAGACTTGCAAAGAGATGACCCTTTCGATAATTCTTCTTGAAAACTTCCTAGAGACATCATATCAGGTTTTAAATACCAGTACCAACTGAATAGGAAGCAGGCATTTCTCAGAAGGCTCACCCTTACTGGGCCTGCTTTACACACAGTCATGACGCCTAAAGAGAATAACGCATTAGCATAGCAAATAATTTCCTTTTATCTATGAAGTAAAAATTTATACAAAGGGTTTTGAAGCCAGCTCTCCATTGGGGAGGTGCTCACTACCCATTTATGTTCCTTGGGAGCCAAGGGGACCAAGTGTCATTTAGATCTGCTAGAAACTAAATGATCCTGCCTGAGGAGGCAGTGGGTCGCACTAGCAAGCCCAGGCTGTACTGCTGGCACACGGAGGGCTGAACGGCGACCAAAGTGGAAAAGGTGGATGAGGCTTCTTTTTTCCCTCCAGACTCTCTTCTAGGATGACTGATGCTCCTAGCTACTCCAGCAATAGAGATTTTGGCACTCAGGGAGGCAAGAACTTACTCTAAACATATTGGACATTGCCTGAGAGAAAGGTACTATTTGTATGCCACGTAGGCCTTTTCAAGAAATCAAAAACCTTCAAACGCTACAAACAGTTCATAAAAATTCTTGACTAGCCCTCAAACAATGCTTGCAGCAGCCATTTCTGAAAAGAGAGATAAGAAGATGGAGGGCAAAAACATGACCCTACTGATTTGTTTCTAGTCTAATGCTGTATTTCATTAGTTGCTGGTTATGCTGAATGTAATACAAAACCAGTGCATTTTATGAAGGCATGCCAAGCTTCAGAGAGCAATGAAATGCAAAAAATGGTGATTTTTCCCTCAAGTCTTTCTCTCTTGGATTTTACAGGACACCTAGCAGATAACTTCCAAATTGAAGTAGAAAAAATGGATTAGTAATAGCATTTCATTAATCTTAGTCCATGTGGAAAAATTCAGGTGCTTCCTGGCACCCTGAACTGGTAAGACCAGCATAACTCTGACAACTGGAAATGTACTTGCCAGGACAATGACATACAATTGCACCAAGGTATGATTAGCCAAATACAATGGAGATTGCCATCAGATGAAGACACCTGACCTTTCTCCTGATCTAAGACAAACAACAGGAGGAAAGTAATGGTAATAAGAAAAGAGAGTCAACAAGGAGAAAAGAAAATTAAAATAAGACTAAGGTTAAGAAAAAGCATGCCATTTAACCTTAGCCATAGAACACTCCATCAAAGACATTTTATGCTTACCCTTTATCAATTTTAACTCTTCCTAAAGGGCCTCCAATTTTGAGGAGCCTGGATTAGACTTGCAAGTAAGCAGCAAGCATAGCATAACATGAATGTGTCTTACCAGCTGAGCTCAACAATTGGGCAGCTACACATGTGAAAGGTGCCGTTTGCGCCCTGACTGCATGTGGATGCAGCCTCGGGGTTTACATGGTTCCGGATGGTTATTTTTACACTTTGTTAAAAAAACCTACTGCCTGCAGCAAGTGGTCTGTCACACCAAGTATAGATAGTTAACTGTCCAGACAGCTCATGACTGCAATCCAGCTTAGGGAACTCCTCTTATTTTGTAGTGGATTTAAATATTTATAAATGCATTTCAGATGAGACTGTAGGATTGTATAACACATAAAGCATTTGTAAGATGTTTAGCACATGCTCCTACAACATGAATATAAACACAAAGTGCAGCTATTGATGGCTACAGGCTGTTCAGAAGGGACAGGAGAGAAAGGAGGGGCAGAGGCATCGCCCTCTACATCAACAAATGGATTGAGAGAGAAGAGCTGTCTCTGAAGAATAGCCACAGGCAGGTTGAAAGTTTATGAGTGAGGTGCAGCTGGAGCTGAACTTGGCAAGGGATGCAAAGAACAATAAGAAGGGTTTCTACAGGTATGTCAGCCAGAAAAGGAAGGTCAAAGAAAGCGTAGCCCCCTTGATGAGAAAGGCTGGCAAAATGACAAAAACAGATGAGGAGAAGGGTGAGGTACTCAACGACGACTTTGCCTCAGTCTTCCCTGGAAGTCTCTCTTCATACACCCCTCCAGTGGATGGACTGCAAGACGGGGACTTGGGGAGTAAAGTCCCTCCTGCTGTAAGGGATGATCGGATTCGTGACCACCTGAAGAACCTGAACATGCACAAGTCTATAGAATCTATAGAACCTGACAAGATGCGTCCCAGAGTTCTGAGGGAATTGGCTGATGTAGTTGCCAAGCCACTCTCCATGATATTTCAAAAGTCATGGCAGTCAGGAGAACTCCATGGAGACTGGAAAAAGGGAAACATTGCACCCATCTTTAAACAAGGTAGCAAGGAGGATGCTGGGAACTAGCAACCTGTCAGCCTCACCTCTGTGCCTGGGAAGATCATGGAACAGATCCTCCTAGAAGTTCTGCTAAGACACATGGAGGACAGGGAGGTGATTCAAGACAGCCAGCATGGCTTCACCAAGGTCAAGAACTGCCTGACCAACCTAGTGGCCTTCTATGACGGAATGATCACATCAGTGGACAAGTAGAGAGATACCGATGTCATCTATCTGGACACTTGTAAGGCCTGTGACACAGTCCCCAACAGTATCCTTCTCTCTAAATTAGAGAGATATGGATTTGATGGGTGGACTTGGGCAGATGAGAAATTGGTTGGATGGTTGCATCTAGAGGGTAGTGGTCAATGGCTCAATGTTGAGATGGAGATCA